GAGAGAGAGAGAGATAGAGACGAGGATACGAGAAGCAGAGAGAGAGAGAGAGAGAGAGAGAGAGAGAGAGAGCGAGAGAGAGAGAGCGAGCGAGAGAGAGAGAGAGAGAGAGAGAGAGAGAGAGAGAGAGAGAGAGAGAGAGAGAGAGAGAGAGAGAGAGAGAGAGAGAGAGAGAGAGAGAGAACCGGTACCGGAGATCGTTGTTGCGTTGTTGTTAGCTTCTGGTGCTAGCGAGCTACGCTAACGGATATAAGGAGTTTTTTCAACAACAAAGTGGAGGAAAGTCCTCTCCTGTCAGACTGAGAGACTCAGTGAGCTAAAGGACTCTATCAGTGTTATCTCAGTGGGTCTCAAACGTTTTGGTCACCATTAATGTAAACAATTATTTCCGAGGCACACATTGATATGATCATTATAGTTTTAAAAAAATAAGAGAATAAATGAAAAACAGCTATGAAATACTATATGACAGTAAAACAAGAATAAAGTTTAAAAGGGTGATTTGTAAAATATCTATAAAGAAATAGAAAATATGTTTCCAGTTCTGTTTCATATGGGTGTTGAGAGAGGTATCTAGATCTCTTCATTTTGCTCTCAAAGTGCACCAGATTGATGCTTTTAACTTCAAGATTGAAAAATATATCTTCCCGGGGAGCTTGCCTCCGGACCCCCCTATGTTAGGTCCACACACCACCTATAAAGATAGTACTTTACCTCTGCTTACACCTATATGCCGTAAGCTGATTATCGAGCCTTCATTGTAACAGTCGCGGGTACACTGTGTATTTGCGTGGGGATTGTTGCAGTAGAACATTCCACTGTAGCGACCGGTACATTAATGGGAAACCCTAAATGTTTGAACACCCTCTATGAAACGTCAAGCTACCCCACAGCACCCCCAAAATAAATCTCTGGCGCCGCCACTGAGCCTGACTATTTGTGTTGGGGGGGCCCGACTTTTTTTTTTCTCCAAAGGGGGGGCCTGACAGAAAAAATTTGAGAACCACTGCTTTACAGATTCTGATTAATGATGTGAAATATAAACAACCCTTAAATCAGACTTTAGTTACACCTGAGTAAAATTCAGGGAAGGTGATCGTCAAGTGCCAACAATCAGGAGAGATATTTGATAGTTGGTGCTTGAGAAGACTAAATATTTATCTGCAATTGACATGAATGGAAACGAGTAATAAAGTATATTCATTACTCGTTATTCTCTACTAATAGTTCATTAAAGACTGTATAATGGCTATTTTGCACATCCCTTTCAAGATTTCAAGATGTTCTAAGGTTTATTGACATATCATATACACACAACTATGGTGTAGTTATGCAATGAATGAAACACTTGGGTCGCAGCTGAGGTTCCTCAACAGTGCATTCCAAGACATCTATCAATATGTGTGTACCTCCACCATTAAACTGTCATATTCTGCACATTTCTTATTCTATCTACATACATAAGAGTATAATTCATATGTATAATATCAGTTAAAATAAGTGCTTCAACATAGTTAACATTGCAGGAAAGCAATATATTAGATGTTAGGTACTTTGTCAGGCTTAATATTTATCTGTAGATAGATACCCCCAAAGCTTTTTTCTTATTTAAAAGAAGACCTTAATCTAAAGTATTCTTTAATGTGTTAAAAAAGGTTAATTAGTTTGTCTGTTTTGTCCTATTAATATCTTTGTACATCCAGCACTAAACTGTTTTATTGTAGAGATCACTTACAGTATCTTCTCGATTTTTTATATTCTATATTTCTATCACAGACCTTCTACTTTCCCCCTATGAAAGTATGTACTCTTAATATTTTTTTCATCAAATATAACACATACAAACAATAATTCAATAACATGCTTTAACCACTAGGCGGTGTACACAAGGTACACACAGCCATAATAACTTTGTATTATTAGTGTAGGACACTTACAGTATGTATGTATAACATCTGAAGATGTGTCGTTTTATTCATGTTTTCAAATAATTTTACAGCATATTGCTATACTATTTCAGACTCAGTATTTACATTCTTATATTCAAAGAAAATCAGTAATATCTTTACAACTACAAGTCCTTTTCTATCAGCTGTGCACCGTTATGGTGTAAATATAACCTATCTACGAATTAGATCAAATATAAAAGTCAGCTGAATTAGTGTTGATACTGCAAGGAGACGTATTGTGTGAAGAGAAATTGAAGATGTTGTTTAATTGCTGATATATTTATGATCCACGTCAAGTATTCAGTTTCGGTGGCATTTCTTCCAGTTTTTCCAAAGGTCTTCTCATCAGGGCTCTATAAATAAAGAACTACGGCAGATCTGTAATATGTATTGCAGCCAAACTGTGTATTACAATGCCGTTATGTGATGACTTTCAAAGAGAAAAGCAAGAACACTCGGAATTATTTTCTTTAAAAAAAAAGGTTTTTCAGATTTGATATGGCATGAACACCATATCCCTACATGCATTGCGGCCAAAACATCCAATCAGCGAGCTTAAACCATAGCTGAGGATCTTGGGTAATCAGTTCAGTTGCTGTGTATCGCAATGATGCTCGAAATGTCCCTTATAGGCCTACGTCTGTTTCCGGTTATTTTTATTTTGAAATTCAGTTCCTGACGGACGCCAAAAAAGCCCGAGATTATGGAATTAAACAAATAAATAAAAACAAGGATAATTGTGTGTTATTTAGAAAAGAATAACAAAGTAGAAGGAAAAAAAGATTACAAAAAATACTGACGTCAGTATTCTGAGGCTCTGAGCCATTTATTTTCCTCACAGACGACAAAAAAAGTCCGACATTATACGATTTAAAATAAAAACAATAATCGTGGCTTGATATTGAGTAAGAAGATGTTTTTATGAACCCCACAGCTTCCGGTCTTCCAAGACCCGACCGGACAAAAAGACGTGCTGCAGGCACGAAACATACTACCAATAGAAATACATTGCTTTTAAAATCGTTCTGTGTGACACGAAAAAAAGGGGGAAATCGTGTTGGTGAACACGAATCAATAGATTACATGTCGTGACTATAACACGAAATGCCGTGAGACTGGGTTGACAGTAAGCAACAGTTAGCAACAATTAACAACAGATCAACAGATCAACAGTAAGCAACAATTAGCAATATTCTGCAACAGATAGCCACCATAAGCAACATAAAGCAACAGTGAGCAACGGTTAGAAACAGTTAGCAACAGGTTGCAAAAGGTTGCAACAGATAGCCACAATAAGCAACCGTTAGAAACAGTGAGCAATCATAAGCAACGGTTAGAAACAGTTAGCAACCGTAAGCAACCGTTGGAAACAGTTAGCAACTGTATCAAGCTTTCAACCTTAGCAATTAAAATGTTTTCAGTGTCTTCATTTATTCAGATGAGGTTTGGCCAACATAAAGTGATATTACTAACTGTGCCCGTCCTTCTTCTGAGTCCCAGCTCTGTTTGCCATGGAGATCAGTGTGACCAAAGACCTGAAGACCGGGAAGAGCACGGTGCTCTCTACTGCTGCCGTTCCTGCTGAGGAGCTAAGCCAGCAGGCCGGGCTCAAGGTTTACGACGACGGCAGGAAGTGTGTTTTTGCCTTAAATTCACAAGAGGTATTATTAAATAATAACCTGTATTCATGTAACACTTTTGAAAAGCATCTTTTAAAAAGCTTGAAAGCAAAACAGATTGGTGCAGTATGAGTGGAAGTGAAAAAGTTACAGGCTATAGCCTACAGTAATTATGAATACATGGTGTCACGATTCTTATGTCAAGGTTTTAGTTTTGTGTCTGGTAATGGGTTTTGTTTTGCTGTTCTTTTCTCCCTGTATTTTCCTCCCTGTCATTAGTTTCCCTGGTGTGTCTGATTGTCTGATTGTGTTCACCTGTTGCCCTTGTGTTTCTCCTCCCCTGCCCGGCTGTTTCTCGTCTTGTGATTACCCCTCCCTGTATTTAGTCTTGTCTCTTCCTGTGTTCAGTGTTGGTTCATTGTTTGTCTTTCATGTCTCGCTTCATGTTGGTCACAGTCACCTTTTGTTTGGATGCTACCTCGTGCTACAGTTCATGGATTCATGTTGTTCAGCTTTTGTAAATAAAGCTCACCTTTTGTTTCATTTTGAAACCCGCTTCCCTCCTCAATCTGCATTTGGGTCCTATTTGTCCCCAAACCTGACACATGGACTTGAGAGTTTATGAAGAATAGTTTTTAGTAGATATTTAAAGGAGGTCACTAAAGGCAAATACAAACTCCTTTCACGTAAGCCTAGTTTAGGAGACAAATAGCAGAGTTTTGACTTGAGGTTTAATGTACGTACAAATAGACAAAAGTGTGCTGGAGCAAGACAATGGAGTGCTTAGAAAGTACATAAACCCTAAGATTCATTCTTAAATCAACTATAAGTAAATGCAAGGTAGCCACAATGGGATTTATTGGACTTTTTGTATTGTTTCAATGACCAGTCTTACTGCAGCATTGTGAATAACTTAGAGGCATGACTGGGCCAATGAACTGCTTTTTCCACTTTTTTTATTGATCACTCATTGTGTTCTCCTAATAATTACCTCTATTCCTTTCTATCTTAAGGGGTCCCATGATCAAGGCTGTGTGTCGGAGCTGACAGCCAACGAGGTGGAACATTTGCTGAGAAGCGCCACAATGCTTCGCCAAGTAAAGCAGCAAAACGTCCACCTAAGCCACAGCAGAAGCTTCTCCAACCACCAACAGCGGAGAGGGGAAGAAGAGAGGTTTGACCTGAGAGACCAGCGAGGATATTATGGGATCCATCCCATCAGGGACAACATGACGGAGGAAGACTGCAGGGGAAGTGTCTGGAAAAAGCAGTGGCAGATCATAGCAGCAGTCATGAGAGCCATTACAGACGGTATGAAGACAGAAACAACAAAAGCAACATGAGGGAAGGTCATCGCCATGGAAGCCACAAGGGGATGGGAGATCACGATGGTAACCAGAAGGACTGTCACCACAGTTCGCACAACGTGAGAAACGGTCACCGTGTTCAGGAAGATCGGCCTGCTAGCCACCACAAAACCAGCATCGTTAGAAGCAATAGAGTGGTGAATGGAGGCAGAGCCAGAGACTGCCCTCCTCCGAGGTCACATGACCAGGAAGCAGTGTCTGCCTACCAACCACAGCTCTCCTACACTCCAGCCAATCATATTCCTCTTAGTGACTACATCAGTGTAGACGAAGAAGAACTGTATAGCTGCAAACCCGCCTCCTATCACAGACCCTCCACTGCCATGTACACTGGCCCCGCCCCCTCTGACCGAGTGCCCTCCCCCCTCTACGGAGACGACACCCACTACACCATCCTCAACGCCATTGACACCACTGAGCCAATCACAGCCGTCTTCATGGGCTTCAAGATGGCGCAGGACGAAAGCGGGCAGGGACACGAGTTCGAGAGCTGCCTGAGGGCAGAGCTGGTCATCATCGAGGACGAAGACAACAGTGAGGACACCTGCGTGGAGGAGAAGCAGCGCAGCAGTTCGACAGGAAGTTCAGCCACTGGAAGCGTGGGCCATGCAGAGGGAGTCGGACACAGACGGAAAGAGAGACGCGGGGGGCCAGGTATCAGAAAGGTCCAGAAAAAACACAAACCCTGCTGCACTATCTGCTAACAAGCTAACGGCTAACTGATGCATGCTGAGTGACAGGTGTGCTAACCTTATCACTCACTGAAACGCATGTATCTTGTAGCTAAACTGAGCTTCTGAAGACAAGGGGGGGGGGGTTCAAACTTAAGGCCTGACATCTTTTTATCGCATTCATGGGTTAATAGTTTTCTGACTTAATAAGCTAAGTTACTTGTTCTACTAGCGTAACTAAGCTAGTAGAACAATATGCTGTCTCTTAAATCATGTACTTCTGTCCTTGCGCTATTTGGATTGAATAAATGCATTCCAATGTTCAGTATGTCTGAATGCACTATGAGTACCGGGAGGAACCACTCATAATGGTCCAAAAGTGTAGAACCATGGACAGTTTACACATTAAACTATTGCCTTCTGGGCTACGTACCTTTTTCTGCAGTTGCGCCAGTGACCACGGCACTCAACAATTACAGTTTTACCTGGTTTTTTTGCTATTGAAGTGAATCAACACTATAGTGTTTTAGTGGGTTAGTCGAGCAGTCGGTAATGATTTGGTACCACAAACGATCGTTGCTGCTACAAGTGTCTTTCAGTGAGATCACAGCTGCCATGTGCAACACTGCATGGTTGAAATGTACACACTGCGCAAGTGTTTAAAGTGTGCGACATGCAGTATGCTAAGGAAAGTATCCCCATCGAGAAAAATCATAGGAACAGGCTTTGTAAATCTTAAGATAAGATATACTTTATTAATTCAAAATTGAGAAATGTGTGTTAAGGGGTTAGGAAAGGCTAATGAATAAATGTACATACAAATATCTCTTATAAACAGAGTGTTGAAGAGCGTATTTTCTGAAGTAATGGTAAAACAGGTGGTGCTTTGCAGGATGCTTTACACAAAGTTCAGAATGATCGGCAGCTATACGAACTGCACACAAAATGACATATATTTCAGCTAGCATTCATTATGGCATTGTGTGCTTTTTTAATATTGTTCAGTGTTTCGTACCATTTCTAAAGTTGGTTTCAGAGACACCCAGTGGTAGCAGGAACATTCATCATCTCAATTGATTACTAGACTCCACTATTTCATTACATTTGTATCAAAACTGAGCATTAAGTGTGGTCTGAAGTCTAGTTTCTTCACTGCTCACACCAATTATGATGTTACACAATGCATTTGTAAAACATGTCAGTGAAACATGGTTAAAGAGCAAGACAGACTTAATTATGTCTATCTTACCATCAGTATTATATAAGAAGGTGTGGAATTTAATCCCTTTTCTTTTGGTTCCTTTTTACCTTCAGATTCTTGTCACATGTTCTACCTAAATGTCACTAATAAACCTTTTGTTACTGATTGATGCTAACGGCTGCTTGTGTCTGTGCTGCACTAACCCTTATCACAGCATTGTGTGTGTGTGTGGTGTGTGTGTGTGTGTGTGTGTGGTGTGTGTGTGTGTGTGTGTGTGTGTGTGTGTGTGTGTGTGTGTGTGTGTGTGTGTGTGTGTGTGTGTGTGTGTGTGTGTGTGTGTGTGTGTGTGTGTGTGTGTGTGTGTGTGTGTGTCACATCGACGTCCATCTTTGGAGGATACCAACAACGCCACCAATTGTCTTTAACAAAGTCACATGTCAATTCAAATAGTGTACAGCATTAGATTTACAACTGCATGATAAGCTAACGTTGTGTTAGCATTCAGTTAGCATAACATTGGCTTTGTTGACTTCTGAATGACTGTCATTGGGCCTGTATATTTGAAGTTCCTTTGCGCCCGTTTGTAAACTTGACATGGGCCTCCAAAGATTTAACATTTATGGATTACTTCCAACACTAAAGGGGGCTGACATCAGACAGATTTTACTTGGTTAATGACTTTCTTAATTCACGAGTAAAGGTGTATTCATTAGTTTTAAATTAGTAAAACCTTTATGAAGAGCTTTTCTTTATTAGGGCATGTCCTTTTCCCGCATACTTCATTTAACAGCGTTGTGGTGTGGGTGTGTGTGTGGTGTCAGGTACTGAGGAGTGAAGGAGCAGGTCCATCCCTCTGCGAGGGAGCTTCTACTTGTGTCCTGAGCGATCATCTCTGCCTCCTGTCTTCATACATCACAAGCTTTTTTATTGATTACCAATTATAAGACTGTTGATATATTTTCATATTCCTGTGATCCAGCTTCATCACTTGCTCAAACATAAACATGTGGCGTCTTCCTCTTCTCTACTGCTAATGGTGATGCCTTGTTCTCTGCAACCTGCATATAACACATGACTTGTTTTTGGAACACATTTAAATACACTTATACAGTATGTGTGTGTCTGACTGTGAACATATTTAAATATACTTATACAGTATGTGTGTGTCTGACTGTGAACACATTTAAATATACTTATACAGTATGTGTGTGTCTGACTGTGAACATATTTAAATACACTTATACAGTATGTGTGTGTCTGACTGTGAACATATTTAAATATACTTATACAGTATGTGTGTGTCTGACTGTGAACATATTTAAATATACTTATACAGTATGTGTGTGTCTGACTGTGAACATATTTAAATATACTTATACAGTATGTGTGTGTCTGACTGTGAACCATATTTAAATATACTTATACAGTATGTGTGTGTCTGACTGTGAACATATTTAAATATACTTATACAGTATGTGTGTGTCTGACTGTGAAACATATTTAAAATACACTTCTACAGTATGTGTGTGTTCTGACTGTGAACATATTTAAATATACTTATACAGTATGTGTGTGTCTGACTGTGAACATATTTAAATATACTTATACAGTATGTGTGTGTCTGACTGTGACATATTTAAATATACTTATACAGTAGGTGTGTGTCTGACTGTGACATATTTGCTTAAAGATAAACAGAGCTTGAACACACATTAGGTTTCAGGAGTAACGCTTTATTGAAGATGTCAATATCAGACCTTTTATTGGCAATTATTATATGACTGAAACTCAAGGCAAATGAACAGAAGCAGATACATGTTAATGCTAGGCTATGAGGAAAAGCAGTTATGTTCAGGACAGCAGCTTATGAGTCCATACAGAATATTAGCAGGTAGCATGTGGTGTGTTCATTGAGAAGCAGCATGAACATTTAGCAATGTTCATGACCTAAATGCACTTTATTCTAAAAACTAGAGTAGTGTTGTTGAGTAATGAAGTATTACTGATAGTTGTACTATCATACAGTTATTATCTACACACAGTTACATCATGACAATGCCCACCTTTACACACAGCACTTATTATTGTGCATTCAAATGCATCTCAGAATGAAATATGACATCAGCCCCTGGATTTGTTTTAAAGGAAATACAATATTTGTTCAGTCTACCTTAATTCTTCTTACATGATTTAGGTTTCATCTAGCAGTTACTGTTCCGTGTGCCCATGCTGACCCTGAAGGCATCTCTTCCCAATGTGGATGCAATCATGGGCGCCGTAAGGGGGTGAAAAGTTAGGAAAATTCTAAGGGCCCGTGACTGACAGGGGCCCAAACTATTTTAGAACATTAAGAAAAAAATGTTTAAGTAACCAATGTGATTATCTTTTCATGGGGCCCAAAATCCCTGGCGGCGCCCCTGGATACAATAGAAGTGATGGTTGACAAAAACAACTCATCTAATGGCGCATGTCCACTGCAGGGCCTTGCACGACTTAGTACGGTATAGTTAGGCCTTGGTAGGCCAGGCTCACTTTACAGTATGCTGCGTTTCCATTACAGTTTAGGAACTGGGGTAGTAACTATAGTAACGCAGTGTAGGCGGAGCCGTGACGTCATCTTCAATGCGAAACACAAAAACAACACAGCCGTTAGCTGTTAGCCCTCAGAGCTCACAGCTCCTCATATCTGTTCAGAAACTAGACAAAAGTTAAACAAGTACAAACCACAGACTGTCTGTGTCATGGCGAATACAGTCGCTGGTTTATTTATGTCTGTATAGGCCGTTGTTGTGAGTCTCTCTCTCTCTCGATTATCTCACTAGTTTAGCATACTCAGCCTGGTTGTTGGCCCGGAAAGAACCTCGATTTTGGAGAGCCAGAAAACTGAAAAAGTACCCGCTAGCCAGAACTACGCCTAGTGGAAACGTAACCAAAAATGGGCCGGGCACGGCACGCTTAAACCGCGCTGTAGTGGAAATGCGCCATTAATGTTCTGCAAAAATGCAGATAAATCAATATAAAGCCAATTTGGGGCTTCTGCAATTCAAATATGCCAAATGAGGGGGATATCCTTGAAAGCTAGTCTAAGAATGAAATTCCCATTTATAGAAAGAAAGAGGAGGAAATAACCAACTAAGGACTCAAATTAAATATAGTTCGCCAATAAGACAACCCAGTCTCACGGCATTTCGTGTTATAGTCACAAAATTAATTTAATCTATTGATTCGTGTTCACCAACACGGATTTCACCTTTTTTTCGTGTCACACAGAACTATTTTAAAAGCAATGTATTTCTATTGGTAGTATGTTTCGTGCCTGCAGCACGTCTTTTTGTCAAGTCGGGTCTTGGAATACCAGAAGCTGTGGGGTTCATAAAAACATTTTCTTACTCAATATCTTATCCTAAGCCTAACCCTATCCCTTTTATTTTAAATTGTATAATGTCTGAGTTTTTTGGCCGTCCGCGAGGAAAATAAATGGCTCATCTTTTTTTCCTTCTAATTTGTTATTATTTACATTGCTTTTAAAATCGTTCTGTGTGACACGAAAAAAATGGGGAAATCGTGTTGGTGAACACGAATCAATAGATTACATTTGTGACTATAACACGAAATGCCGTGAGACTGTGTTCAATAAGAGGGATTCGATTCCAACCCCTCTCAAAATGAAGAGCAGAGATATAGCTACAGGCTACATCGTTGCACAGAGACTCGCAACTCAAATACAGTTCATAAGCTAACAGCGTGGTTTGATCTTCTGCAGTATATTTTATAATGTAAGGCATTAACTAATTTAATTTCCATCCTGCTACTTTCATCTGCCATTTCTGAGTTGAGTTGAAAGCACGAGTTGAAGTCCAGTTGAGTTCTCTGGGGCAAGCAGAGCTAGAGAAGCCAAACTAAAGGGAGCTCCGACTAGCTAACGGATGGAGTACTATAAAACACACACATGCACACACCGCACACAAAAGTTATCTCTTATAAACATGGCAGACGTAATCTTCAAACACTCATTCTCAAACAATATATTATAAACGTTTCACAAATAAAATATTTAAGGATTTACAAGCATTGCTCAATTCATAAATATATGCAGCAAAAATACAGGTACAAGAAATCTCTTTTTAGGAATCAAGAAAGGACACAAAAATATGTCAAACTCTTCACTAGACTACATTAGAATATCTGAATGTTTCAGATGTATTCGAGATGTTGAGCTAAACCAGAGCCACAGACAGAGTGTCACGGGACTACCATGCTAACACCTGTAACGCTAAAGCAGTCTTCAAATAACTGCTTATGCTCGTTTTTAAGGAGTTTTCAGAATGAATGTAAATATTCCTATTGAGGTATTTGCTAACAGTTGACAGCTAAGTGTTTTTTTTACAACCTGGTTGCTTCCAACACCTAGGGTTGCCAACTTCCAGAAATGGAGAAACGGGACACAGGCATGTGTCCCCCGCGCGCGAAGATTTTCGGGTTTCTGGCGGATTTAGTTACTTTTTTTTGTTACTTTATTTCGGTTTTAGGGTTAGGGTTATGTTGTTTAATTATTTTGGGGGAGCCAGCCCCCAAGGGTTCGAGGGGTCAAACCCCCCAAAACCCTCAAAATGCATAGAATACTATGCATACCTATAACACAATGATCTTACAGCTGCATTAGGCTATACATCACATTGTATATCAGCATGTTCAAATCGGATAGGTGGGCACTAGGGACATCTGGGCACCTCGATGTACAATTGGCTATTTTGTCCAACTAAAAAATAAATATTTGAAAAATGGTATTAAGTAATGCAAAGTATACATGATGTGAACATGCACGGTACATCATTATTAGACTTAATGTTATCCATCAACCAACCATTTTCCCAGCATTTTCCCATCAATCAGCTGACACACACACACACGCACAGACACACACACACACACACACACACACACACACACACACACACACACACACACACACACACACAGACAGATCTCCACTCACAGGCTTTACCCAACTGTGTTTTTCTTCCACTGTTTGTTGTAAGACACAAGTCTTTTCTTTTTAGAAGGGCCAGGGCCCAGAACCACATCCTCTCTCTCTTCTCCTCTTTCTTTATCACCTCCTCCACCGGCAGCGCTCATTTTCCCACACGACTGAACAGGCTGACATGCCACACACAAACAATGATGCCGCGCCCGCGGCCCGCCGGAGAAAATCTCTCACACACGTGCGAGCATTGTGCCTGCCCTGTCCACTGAGCGGTCCTAGTGCCCTTCACATACAGCAAACAAACACACAGGCACGCAGCCAGACACACTGCATTGCGCACAAACAGAAACATATTTTTGATTTTTCCCTTTACACGGGAGTCCGGGACAAACAATGTCCCGTACGGGACACGCCCCTTTTGGCTCAAATACGGGACGTCCCGGCTAATACGGGACGGTTGGCAACCCTACCAACACCTCATGTACCAACCAAACAGAAATGAGCTGTAAGCTAGCTAGCATGTATGTAGGCCTATGCAGCAAACATATTAGGTGTCAGGCATCCATATTGAGATTTTTTTTTAAATAGCTCTAAGGGATCATTAGAGGATTTTGGTTGTATTCTTATATCACAAGAGGTGTTGGAAGCTAACTTAGCTGACCTCAATAGAAGCTTCCAATGTTCAAAAGAAACACACTTGGTACAGCCCTGCTAGCTCTGGGATTAGACTTCAGTGTAGTTTGGAACATAAGAGGCTGTGTTCACACGTTTCTGTGGAAGGCAAAGGGGTAAACGGGGCTAACCTTAACTAATATTACTGAAGGTAGCTAGCTGATAAAGGTTTCATTGTTTTCAAAATGAGCTCAACTTGAGGCTGTATTCTTCTTGGTTTTGTCACACACATCAGAAAGTGCTCTGTGGTGTAGAGCGAGTAAAGACAACAAGCATGGCTTGAAACTACGAGACTACAATATTCCTGAAAAGAGAATATGTTTTCTCTTCCCACAAAATGGCTTCCTCCTTACTGGGTTACAACCAATCCCTCTTAGAGAAGAGCCTCCAGAAGCTCCCCTGTGTGACTTATTTGTTATTTAGTACTTAGCAGCCAGCATGACCTGCAACTCTTTTGAATGATGGCTTATAATAACATTTCACACAGACAGTGATGTTCAAATTCTAGCATGGACCTTTTCAAAAGACATGAATGTCATTTGAAAAGAACACAACATGCTAACTCATTTTTGCATGTACCTTCTCAAATCTATGCATAGCTACAATATTTTTTTAAATAAGCGGTGTTTGATCTATTTAAAATAAAGTCAAAAATGATTTTATTATCCCCACATCACAAGGGATTATCATAAAAATCAAATACCAATAGTTGAAGTAGAATAATTCATGAACATCTAGAAATCAAAGTGCTGTGAATATTAAAGGAGAATACCACAGATTCTAAAATCCATAAAGTCCAGGTCACATTTAAAAAAACAGTGGTATAAATATGATTGCCATTTCATACTCAGTTATTATTGGGATGCGCCTCCTGGGAGTCCACACAAGTTATAAGAACAACGTCTGCAGACATTTGATTTGAAAGCATTTTGGAAACCTTATCTAGGATAATGACCTTCATCTTTGGAACAAGCTCACTAAATGAAAACAGTCCTCTTGTCACAGGACGTCCAACAGACAACACAACGGACCAATCAGATTAAAGCCACAACTGAGCCCAACATCAGCTGCTGACGGACTGAAGGAGGCGTGGAGCTTCATTTGGGTTTTTCATTGGCTGACAGTTCAGCGTTATTGTTGCTCATTCCTTCTTCTGATTGGCTAATAGGGAGGCCTCCCACCGCTGCGCCATGGAGTTCTGTCGTCTCGGCACCGAAGAGAGGAAGGAGGGGAACTGTGGGGGGGAGGGAGATTCAGCTGAACCACTGGAGCCAAGGTGGGTGGAGGAATGGATTATGGGATGGATGGATAGATGATTGATTGATGGGGTGAAGAGAAATAAACAGGAAATGGAACAGTAGGAGGAATGATTAGATGGATGAACAGCATAGTGATGGGTAGATGAACATATTAGGAAAACAATGAGTGTAATTGCAAAATTGTGAACTAATGGATTAAAAGCATAATCAATCCAGCTGATTAACACATTTAGAAAGTTCACAATTAATAAATGTAAGAAATTAATGAATGAGTAAAGTAAAAAAAAACAATGACCCAACATGGACAAAACATATTAACATAACATTTAACATGATTTGAATGTGATGTACTGACACATGAAGCAGTGGTGTAAAATGATACATTACAAAGTCAAAATTATGCTTGATTGAGTCAATTTATATATTATAAAATAATTGTTGGTGTATTTTAAATATGATTTGTAATATACTAGTATGTCATTAAAGCAGCACCTGTAAATATGTATATATTATTAATAAATCAAACGATATGTATAAGCATTGAATACAGTGGAGCATGTAGCAGCTAAAGAAACATATATTGTTCTTGATGCAAATGTATGATTTCATCATTGGGCTATATCAATTCACTGAACAAAGTCAATAACTAGGTAACCATTCTTTTGAAATATAGCTTTTCTTAAATGTCCTTAAACAAGAAACCTTTGCAGTAAGGAAGAACACTTTCCATTAGGTCGATTATTCCTGGAGATGTATTGGCCATTATGACGGGGCATCAGGTTTATAAGGTTTATAATTGGCTTTATACAAGTATGCAAAAGCAAGATTTAAAAAAACTGCAGGTACAGTAACAACCGAAAAATACATCTGTATATGTCCTAGTACTTGGTCAAGTTCCATCTTGAGTGAAACTTAAAACTATTAAAAGGTGGCATAGTACATACTAGTAACCCTCTGATGTCTGAAACATGTTTCACCTCCAAACTAGTGTTGGAGACAAGCTGCTGGATTTACTGTGCCAACTCTCTGAAAACTGTCCAGTAAATCTGGACTGATGAATAATTGGCCTAGGCTGCAATTGACGGTAGTTTCTCGTTGTGTGTGTGTGCGTGTGTGTGTGTGTGTGTGTGTGTGTGTGTGTGTGTGTGTGTGTGTGTGTGTGTGTGTGTGTGTGTGTGTGGTGTGTGTGTGTGTGTGTGTGTGTGTGTGTGTGTGTGTGTGTGTGTGTGTGTGTGTGTGTGTGTGTGTGTGTGTGTGTGTGTGTGTGTGTGTGTGTGTGTGTGTGTGTGTGTGTGTGTGTGTGTGTGTGTGTGTGTGTGCCAACCTTGTGGTCACAAGACAAACTGGATCGTTCCATTTTGCGGTTTCTGGAAGGGGAGGAAGGGGAGGAGACACATCTGTCTGGAACCTCTGGTACTGGAACAAAAAAAGGAAAACACTGTGTAATAGGATAATCAGAGCCGACAGAAGCCTAATCTTTTTCAGGTATCATTCAGCAGTGACTTTGTTCTGTTCAACACTGACTAGAGAGCACACCATCATCAGCAAGCCTTAGAAGTATATCTCATGTTATTTTGAATATCTATTAATAATTTCACTGAAGCAATAATAGAGGCAGCGGTTCAGTAGTTCTGGATGGTTGGTGTCCTGTAGATTCCTGAGCAGAACTCCAACCCCCCAGGAATGCTCCTGATATATTTGACCTTTAATTAAAAGCTACTGCTCACAATGTGCTACGGTATTTAGTCCACTATGCTTATATGTTTCTGTCCCTTTAGTAGATTGGTATACTGAGTATTCTGATGTATTCTGTATTATTGATAGCGTGTAGATACTCTTCTGAATATATGTCATTATAAAAAAATGTATTCCATTTTAAAGAAATGATTCTCATACATTGCTGTGACAAAACAGTTTCCCCTCTGTGGGACAAATAAAGGTATTCTGATTCTGTATCTATCCATCTATCTGATAGTATTAGTGGCGATGACTGCAGAAGTGGGAGAAGTACTCAGATCTTGTACTTAAGTAAAAGTAGAGCTACCAGAGTTACTCTGTTACAGTAAAAGTCCTACATTCAAAATATTACTCAAGTAAAAGTACAAAAGCATTTGAAAATACTTAAAGTAGCGACAGTAAAAGTAGTCATTGTGCAGATTGGTCCATTTCAGAATAATATATATGATATGTTTTATAATGATTGATCATGAAAGTGTTCTCAAAGCTGGTAAAGGTGCAGCTAGTTTGAAGTACTTTGTATACTGCAGGGTAGCTTGTGGATTTACTCCAGGTGGAACTAAAGTCTGATTTAACACTTGATTATATTTCACATCATTCATCCACATCTGTGAAGTAACTAAAGGTATTAAATACATGTAGTAGGAAAAGTACAACATGTACCTCTAAATGGTGGTGGGGTAAAAGTACAAAGTAGCAAAATGTTGAAGTACAAGTAAAGCACAGGTACCTCAACATTGTACTTGAGCGCAGTACTTGAGTAAATGTACTCAGTTACTTTGAACCTCTGGATGACGTACCGCTGAAGCTGATGCTGTCGTTGAGGCCTGGAGACACCAGCACCGTGTTGTACCTCTCTCTTCCTCTCTTCCAGTCCTCCTCCCTCCTCTTCCTCCACATCTCCTCCTTCTGCCTCCTCCACTCCTCCTCCCTCTGCCTCACCATGCGGATCTCCTGCTCCACCAGCGACTGGCTGCTGATGGAGCGCAGCTTGAAGAACGGATTGGAGGAGAAGGTGCTCTCCTGCGGTTCCATTGACACCGAGTCGGAGCTTAGGCAGAATTCTGAAGCGCTGCGAATTATGAGATTGGAGGTTTCCACAACGATGACGTTGGCAGATGGCATCACGTTCTGGCTTGTTGGCCAATCAGAGAGGCCCCCGATTGCGGAGGAGAGTAAGCGGTTCCTGGAGGCGGAGCCTGAGCAGTCCGGCTCCAGGATGATGACGTTGTTGGCTGTCATTTCATGGTAGCCAGACCTTGCGAGGGAGGAGGAGCAGGATGGAGAGGGGGAGATGGACAGGGTGGGGGTCCGGCAGGCTGGAGGTCTGGGTGGAGACCGTCCTGTCTGCAGGGTGGAGGGCCTGAACACAGGACAACCAAAAAGCATCAATCAGCTCATTTTGGCTGAACTTTTTATTAGGTTAAGTAGATAGAGCTTTACTGCAGTTATTGTAAATACTGTGTTGACAGATCTGCTGTTTAAGTGGCCGTGACAGACCTCACCTTTACCTCGCCTACCTCTATTAAGCTTACCATTAATAAAACATTTTAAATTGGCTATAATTTGGTTTGATGGAAAGGATGTATGTCTCAATAATGTCTTATCAGACATGTGAAACCAGACAGAACATCCTGAACTCTTGACCTGTGCACATTATGCATTTTAGATGGGGCAAGCAAAGCATAAAAGTTCCAACCAGAATTCTAGGAAGGCGTTGTGGTTTTTGACACCTTGACAACGGTTACAACGGTTGAGGACAACAATGCACACAGGATGCAGACGGACTACGTAAAGATTTGAACCAACTTCCTGGGCCAGCGAATCGTAGAGACAAGCTGTCCCTATTGTCTCTGTTAATAAATGAAGTCTCTGTTAATAAATTAAAGTATAAAGTTTGCATATTTGAAATTAAATGTTTAAAGAAAAAAACTTGATTCTAAACATGACATTGACAATGTGTTCTGCTTTCATGAAAAATGTTCATATTCCCTTTTGTTAAAATTGCATATTATTACTATAAGTCTTTATTTGTTTTATTTGAACTTTACATTTTGAATTGTTCATCAAGTAAAAGTTGAACATTATGTGACCTCCTTCTCCCTCGAAGATAGACGAGGGGAAAGCACCTGACGCAGAGAGGGAGGAGGCAAGAGACTTTGAAAGATGATGTGTGAAGAGAAACAGGAGGGCTTTAGAGCTTGGGGGAACTTTTTGGAAGTTTGATTCTGGGTCTTGGCTCCTGGGCCTGGGCCTGGGCCTGGGCCTGGGCCTGGGCCTGGGCCTGGGCCTGGGCCTGGGCCTGGGCCTGGGCCTGGGCCTGGGCCTGGGCCTGGGCCTGGGCCTGGGCCTGGGCCTGGGCCTGGGCTCTTTTAGACCGCTCTAGGACATTTGACTGGTGAACCTGTTGCTTTTGTATTTTGACTTGGTGTCTTTGTTATTTCTTTGGATTCTTGTAAATCCTCTATTTTTATTAAAACCTTAATAAAACCGGTTTGTACACTTCGACCCAAACTCCTGGTCTCTCTCTCTCTCGTGGTCTCTGAAGGTATCTGCTCGGTCTCAGAGTGAGGTAAGAACACCCTTCCTCGGAAAAGGCTGACATTAGTTGATCATTTGGATTTAAATAGTTTAAGGGGAATAGAAACTCTGCTAAGGTTAAACTGTAGTTTCACACTGTGGTTGATGTGGTTTTGATTGATGTTGAAATATGACATAAGCTCTGCTGATGTGGTGATGTCACTGCTGTGATAGTAATGTTTGACTCTGGCTGTGGTTGATATTACATTTGCATTGTTTTGATTGGTAGAACTGGGGATCAACAGTGGGTCCTGAAGCTGCCCTAATTACCAAGGGGTCTCCCAACGACACAGGGTTTCTCCTCCAGGGGCAGTTTAGATACTGCTCTGGGGTTCTACCAGCCCACCAACACCTACTGCACTACACAATGTGTTTTGCTATCCTGGTGGTCGGACATCCGATGCTTTAGCGCCTGAAATAAGTGATACGACGGGCAGCTGGTGTTAGAAGACACGCTGTAAGCGCCCCCTGAGCAGATTACGGTGATCTTGCGTGTAGTCTGGAGGGTTTAGTCCTCAAAAGATTGGATGGCCGTTTTCCGGAGCCTTATCAGCACCGGAGCTCGGTATCGGAGACGACCTAGATATTAACATTGGTTGTATCGAAGTTAGATTCCTTTTCAACTGTACCATATCACATTGACAGTGAATCAAAAAGATACCAACAGGTAATTGTCACTAACTCAGCTGTTCTCAGTTTAGCCTCTTTTACCTCTTTGTTTTGGACTACCAGCCTCCAGAGTCACGCACACACTGTTAACAGGAGGCACTGCTCTGATAAACCCACAACACACCACCTGCCAGCAGCAGAATGCACGCAGACAGACAGCGTTGATGATAAGCTGGTGTATAAAGTGGAGAATTTAGAAGAGCTAAAAAGAGATATGTTTCTCAAAAGCAGATATGAGAGAGTGAATATTGGACTTACATTTACACCAAATTAAAACGTGACTCGTCTGTGTCTTGGGCATGGAGACTGTTTGCTAAAGTGTTAGCCATAACTTTATAAAATGTCAAAGATGCGTGCTAGTAGAAAAGATAATACACCTTTCATCGTACTCTCCCCAGATGTAGTAGCCTACTAATAACAGCTTGAGGACTCACTGTTGCCTAGTGGAGAGGCTGTCAGTGTTATTATGTTCAGTCAGAGGGGGCTGCTGACTCTAGTGTGACGCGGTCCAGTACATGTTTGGCTTCATATCAAACTTCTACTGAACACAGACTCAACCGACCTGGTCATACTGACACAATATATAACGGTGGGTTACATATTGTAACCCTGGTTATATAAGCACAGGCGGAGCCCTCTACCTAGGGGCCCTGTGTTTCCTATGCCGCTCGCTGAAGAGGGTGTAGGATGACAGGCAGGAGGCGTGGCTGCCTTATATACTGTGGGCCTGCGCGCGCATTCAGGTAGGCTCGCCCCGATTGGCCGGTTACTTTTATGCAACTCAGTATGTGAATGCTCGCATAGCATGGTTAAGGGTAGTACCCAGACCCGGCGGCAGACATACGTCTCTGGGCGGGCATCTGATTTACCAGGGCGGGCCCACCACAACACTTACATTTCCCGGGAAATCTGAATTGTCAACGGGGGGGGGGGGGGGGGGGGGGGGTGAGGGAGGCGCTCGTGAATTGTTGTTACGGAAACAGAGGGGTTTTAGGTCATAGATTTTAGGTTGCCATAAGGCTGTTGACGGTCTTATTATAGGCTACATCCATTGGTTGGTTTTGTGGCACATTTGTAATGCTGTGCCAACTTGGGCAAGCACGCAGGCAAACTTGAGGAGCGCACACAGGGTGGAGAGGTGGAGTGAGGTTGAGCGATGGAGAGAAAGGGAGAGAGAGAGAGATTGAGCGAGGCAGAGAGCGTGTGCAGCGGTCTGCTTGCGCACAGAGCAGGAGTTTGTGAGAGAGCCGGCTTGAGAGTCAATTTCTCTTCAAAATATAATTGATTGCCAACCTCCCTTGTCCCTGGCTGGCTTGCTAGCTCGTTGGTAACGTAACTGATGTCTTCTAATGTGCCTGCATCTGGCGCTGAGTTGCCATATTCCTTTCATGAACCACTTCCTGATATCCATTGTTGCAGATAAATATAAATGATAATAGCCAAACTAACCTAGCAAGAGTAAACTGACAGGCTGCTGTGCCGCATCTCACTCAAAACCCACACGACTCAACCCAGCGAAAAACCAGTCTCGCGCGCAGCCTTTCATTCAGAATTTCATTCAGAATTTCATAGCAAAATAAAAAAATGATATTAAACTAATCTTTCAACATATAAATAAATATTAGGACAAATAACAACAATAAACATAATAATAAAACAATTAAAATGTTGTATTCAGCCCTGATTAAAACAGCGGGCCCAAATCCTGGATGTGCGGGCCAAAAAAAAGAATTTCTGATTCTGATGTAAATTAAAGTGGACCTATCATGCTATATTGGAAAAATATATTGTAGGGCCATACCTATACAAAACATGTCTGTGAAGTGTTTTGCTTAAAATACCAAACAGTTCACTCATTGTAGCCATGCCTCATACTGCTCAAACCCCTCTTTTGCAGCCCTGTTAGAGAAACGCGGATTTTGGGTCCTTAGCTTGAAAAAAAAAAAAGAGGAGGCGGAGCTAATGCCTGATCAGAATTCTACCGGAGATAAAGTTAAATTCTGCTGTGATAAAACGCCATCCTGTTCTAAACCATATCAAAGATTATTTCTGAAACAGTATGGAGCTCAAATACTTTTTCTCTTGCGGGTTTATCACAAGGTGAGTTCCTTTTTTGATTTCCTGCTTTTTAAACACATGTGCTCTCCAGTACAGGTTAGCTCTGAGTGTTAGCGAGGCTTGCTAATGTAAACAAAGACGAGATTACGTCCAAAACACGTCAGGCATTGTTTCTGATAGCAACTTTCTGTGGGTCCGCTGCCGATTTGACGTCAGATCGGCAGCAAATCTGTCTCCGCTCGTTGTACCCCTGTTTTTAAAAGATTTGGGTACGGAGGAAAAGAGAGAGGGTTTTATTTTCTGACGCTGCGTGAGTTCCCCGACGCACCGGGGACACATATTTATGTATAAAAGACAGCACAAAGTGCATTTTGTATGATAGCTCCCCTTCAATGTATATTTTCTTGTGTCTGACGCGTTGTGAGAATGAACGTGCATATATTTACTTGTGTGCGCGAGCGTGACACGCATTGCAGACCGCAAGTTAACAGCGACTTTCTAATGCTTCTAATGCCATTTTTGCAGAGGTTCAAGGCATTGGCTACAGACAAACAGTGCCATTTCTCCCACTAGTTCAAGCCATCATACGTATACGTATGTATTGCGTGTGTGTGTAGAGGGGCGCCGTTTACCGACAGGGGGCCCCCAAATAAGGTAGATTAATCCAATCCAATCCAACTTTATTTATATAGCACTTTAAAACCTCCTGACCAAAGTGCTGAACAGAGAGATACATAACATATAAAATCACACAGCTCAGCTCACAAAACATAAAATAAATAAATACATTTAAAATAAAAGATACAAACACAAAACAAACCAGAAAAAAAACACAAAAAGATTGAGAAGTTCCACAGCAACGACAACATGAAACACCCTTTAGTTTACTGCAACGATATGTCGGGAAACCCCCTCAAACCCCCTCATAGCGCGCCGAAACGGCTTCTTAATTTCAGTTTCATTGCTCCGCTCCGGGGGTGTGGGGACTTTACTGGCATTGATCCGGACCATTGACCTTGTATAAAATTCACAAGTGGACCTTTAACAAAAGAGTTTGAGTACCCCTGGTATACACCTTTACAAGTATAATACTGAAGACAGCAACACAATGTAAACATTTCAGTGCAAAGATCCCATTCATTTATCTCTTTTAACTTGGGCTCTGTTTCTGGAGGTAAACAAAATGTTCAGTTTTCCTCCAGAATAGTGAAAACCAAATCCAACCCACCCCCCACTCTTCTTACGGCCCCTACACACTGCGGCGTGCGTTGAAGCTTTCCGGTGGGCATGTCTGACGCTCGACCAACAACCAATCACATTAATCTCCCGCCCCCTGACACACAAGCAGCGGTTTGATTGGCTAGAGCTTGTACTGGCATATGATTCGATTGGCTGACTCGTCCGTCGAAGCTTCAAAAGTAGAACATTGCTCTACTTTTGAAGCGAGCACCGCGAATGCAGTTCGGTGAAGCGTCAACGCACGCCGCTGTGTGTAAGGGCCGTTACTACACCAGAAAGAGTGCACAGTGCTACTGTGTAGGGTTGGGTATCATACTGTAGCCCGTCAGCTGGATGCTGGTTACCTGGGTATAGCGAGGCCGTGTGAGACCCCCCCCCGCTCCCTGCGGTGCCGCTCCTCTCTCTCCAGGGTCAGCCGGATCTCTCTCTCCACGGCGCTCTCCGGCTCCTCCATCGGGCTGCGGTACGACACGTCGTCCAGGCCCGAGTCCTCTGAACTGGGGGACAGGGTGTGGGCCAGGGGGGGCTCCCTGGGGACTGGGGCCGGATGGATCTCCCTTTGTCAGGACAGGAGAAAACACAGCTTAGGATAAGATGATCGTAAAATAAAAGACAATTTCTGCCACAGGTGAGACCCCTCCTTGTAAAGGTTAAGGTTAACATGAAACACATTTCCCCACTGAATCTGACAGAATCTCTTGTATTGTGTATCAGCTTGTTCCAGTTGTTCATTGAAATCAGGCTTAAATCAGTTTAAAATGTCACACTTAGTGATCAGTATTCAAAGATGTAGGGTAAAGAGAAATCTGATTTGTGAGTTGATAAGCAATCAAGGTCACATCCCATTCACTGATGCTAATCTGTGTTCTACATTACATTGATTTGGGGACAATGACATGAGAGGATTCCTATCTAGTCTTGTTGTTAACAAGCAGTAACCTGAAAAATTACATGTCAATGTAGAGGTGCTTTAACCTGCATTCTCTATAATGTCCTGCAGGGGGCGACCCCTGTCTACTGTACTTCTCACTTACCTTAGTAAACACTTTCCTATGAGTACAAGGTTTCACTCTCAATTTTTAAGTCTTCTTCAATACAGTATTTTCATTTGGTAAATGATGTTCCCATTTATATTAAATAAACAAAAGAGCAGGGTATGTTTTACCTTGTGATTGACAGGTTATTACCAAGTTGGAGTCCTTTTTGGGCGCTATCTGTGCTTTTCACAGTTTGTGTTTTTTGAAAATAGCTCTATCATTTCTCACCTGTGTTTGATTCGGGGGCTGCGTGTGGGGGGGTACAGTGATGTGTGGGTGCCCTGGAAGCTCCCCTGGGCTCTGAGCCCTGGTTTGGGGATCGGCTGACCTTTGACCTCTTTCTCCATATTCCTCCACTGCTGTCGGGCCAACAGGAAGTCCACATGCTCGTTGGAGACATTTTCACTGTGGCTCTCCATCCGGACACAGAAGTCTGCAGGAACCTGAAGGGGAGGTTCAGATGAGATTAAAACACACATAGGAGAATACCATAAAAGAACATTTGAATGTATTATTACTACTAGTAACTACTACTAGTACACAGATGAAATGTAGTCCATTCACCATATGGTTCATTGACAACTTCCTTCATTAGATTCCACCTTGTTTGCAGGTTAGCATGATCGCCATTCCAAACCAAGTAGTTGTGAGTGACATTGGGTTATTAAACCATCCAACAGGAAGTCTGCATTAATCCTGACTCAACCAGCATGTATTATTGCGACTACAACTTGAAGGTTACATTGTTTTTTTCAATTAAGATGAAATATATCTGACATGTGGATTTTTTTTGACATTTTTGAATTGTTACATTGGCTATGGTAAAAACCAAGCAGCGAATAAACATCAAATAACAAGAAGAGGTTTACAGAAAAAGAAACGTCATCATTACGCATCAACAATAATATTATTTCATTTATTTGTTTTCTAAATGTTCTGATACAAAACTATGGTTATAAAAAGTTACGACAGTTCCTCATTCTGCCGAAGAGAGGGAAGTGAAGCGCAAACATGCTGCTGTTTTAAAGAAGGAGCCTCATACAGACGTTTCACTCTGCCACAGAGCTGGAGGGTGAGGGGGTCACTAAAATCCCATTCAAGAGGTCTGTACGGTGGCCCACAGGTGCAAACGTGTTACAACGGCCCAAAACAGTGTTTTGTATTTGCAGCGTTTTGTTTACGCTTTTAGTAAACACTGCACATGTTTCATCAAGTTGGCGAATGTTTTCCAAATGCTGAGCATATGATGCCAAGTTTTTAAAGATGTGTCTTCATTTGCATGTCTTTTGGCACACTAGGGTTTTTATATTTGCATCAGTTTTGAAAGTGCAGTGTGTTTCTCCAGAACCAAGTGTTTTGGGCCGTTGTAGCACAGATCGGCCACCGTAGGTTTGGGTACAGGTAAGTTAATAAACTGCATTTGGCTGTTATTCCAAGTAAAAATCCCCCTCCCCCAATCTCCATCTTGGAAACAGAGATGTAAACACCTTGCCTATAATACAGAGCGATTCAAATATCCTTCAGCGTTGATATTTGCAGGCACTCTGCAGCATGTCAATTGGACGCACTTCATGGAAGTGCATCAGACAAACGTCATACCTGTAAGGGAATCCTTTCCCCTGCATGTCCTCTTTCGCCCTCTGACGCAGATGCCCAGCCTTGATCAGCCGCTATCTCCCTGAGGAGGGGCTGCCCTAGCATTTTGTTGTTGTTACCAGTTTGTGAGCGGGCAGCTCTCGGTCAGAGATAGTTATTGTTGTGGGACACCTGGAACCAGGCCCGGTTCTACGGGGGTGCATAAGGGTGCATTGCACCCTCAGTTGAGTTGTTATGCACCCTCATTTGAAAAATTAAAAGTGAAAAAAAAATGTAAAGTGCATTTTTTTTTTTTTTATTAAAAGTGAAAAATATTACATATATAATAACAATAATAACAATAGTAGTAATAATAATAAGAAGAATATAGTTGAAATAAAATCAATTGTATTTGTGGTTAAATAACATTGTCTGCTGCATTTATTTGGTCAATTTAATCGGTAAGTAACGTTATTATGTCAGGTGCGCGTGACCTGTACCGCTGCGCGTTCGTCATCTGCAAGGTTCTTACACAGCAGTCAGTGATGGACATCAGAAAATGGTTAAAACAACCAGCCCTTATCGCCAGCAGTAACACTGTATCTACTGCAGGTAATAACAGTTCAGATCATGAGGACATTACGTTACCCGCGGCCACTGTCGTGGACACTAACGTCCTCCCGCCCGACTCGCCGGCTTTGCCTGCCTCGCCCTCTTCGTTGCCCCAAACACCGCCACCCCTCGGCGGCCCGCAAGTGCCAGAGGACCTCGGCAAAACAGAGCCTGCCCAGGTATATTAAAAAAAGTACCCACCTCGCCTGTACAGTGGGGTAAGGTGCTCATTTTGCAGCTCATGGTTTCAAAACAGAGATTGGCTAGAATATTCCTCAACAAAATATGCCATCTTCTGCTATGCATGTAGACATTTCGGTCTTGAAAGGGGAGTGATTTGTAAAATATCCATAAAGAAATAGTAAATCTGCTTACAGTTCTGTTTCATATGGGTGTTGAGATATATCCATAGATCTCTTCATTTTGCTCTCAAAGTGCACCAGATTGATGCTTTTAACTTCAATATTTAACATGCCCCCGGACCCCCCTAGAGGAGGTGAGGACCCCCTAGAGCAGGGGTGCCCAACCTTTTTTGAACCGAGAGCTACTTTTAAAGTTGCCAGTCTGCCGAGACCAGTCCAAATAGAGAGGCGTAGCCATTACTGACAGCCTACTACCAGGTAAATACACAATTCTACTTGTATAAAACTGACCTTTGTACGATGAATACCTCATGAAATACTGCAGATCCTTTATCTTACCTCTTTCTAATCTACACACATACAAGTATTTAACTGAAGTCACACAACAGTGTTGTTGATACGGAGTTGGAGTTTATTCACACGTCACTACAGTGGGTAATGTCTTCAAGAAACATTGAACACAGGAGAAAAAGAAAAGACTCTGAACCCTTTCTTTGCCATTATATACAAATAGTGTTGCTACAAAAGTATAAATGAGGCTTACTAATAAGACAACTCAGATCTGAAGCTACACAGGAATCTGCTGCAACAGTGCAATAAAAAAGACAAAATTAATAGAATCAAACCCTTTTTTTTGTTGCATTTTAGTAGAGTATAAAAAGAAATGCCTTTAAAATAGGATGCAAGCAACACTAGTTTCTTAACCTGAATTTATAATAGACTATAATCAATTAAAACAGAACAGATCTTAACGTTTGCATTCTTATACCATTTTGTACAATAATTATAATGAATAAGTTCAAACAAACTCAAACTTACAGCTGATTAATAACGGTATCTAACTTGAGTTTTTATTATATCAAAAACCTGTTGAAATGCTTCTGTTATTTTTACTGTCCCCCAAAAGCGCGTCGGCAGCCTCCAGGAATGCTTCTTTCACAACTTCGCCATCTTTGAAAGACTTCATGTGTTTCTCAAGAACGTGACTGGCACGATAAGATGCTATGGTAGCAGCCTTGCTCTTGTTGTTGGGCCTGGTGAAAATGGACTGCTGTGCATTTAGCTGTCCTTTCAGGCCCCTCCCCTTTTGGAGCGTAGGTCAGAATTAGGAGGGAATTCCGTCTCGTAGCGTTTGTGCACTGTTTTGAAATGCCGCTCCTAAATTACCCTTCTTCGATAAAGCCACGCTCGCATTGCAGATGAGACAGATGGACTTTGAATTGGAATAGATACAAAAATAATCATCCTCCCACTCGGAGTGAAAATGATATATTTGGTGCTTTTTTGCTTCTGCCATTGCGGTCTTGTGTGTGTGCGGACTGGCACTCCTGTTGACACGGACAACGTCAGCGAACGTTGCCCACTGCCACGTCACGTCACGTCAGCCCACTGCCCACAAGCCACGCCCCGACACATGGGGTCACGCCGGCCAATCACAAAGCTTTGATGCGTTCAAGTGCATTATTCTGGCACAGGAAGATTATGTTATAGGACATTAACGATAAAACTGAATATTGTTGTTCTATTTTTAGACACATCTCGCGATCGACTGGGAATCTCCCCGCGATCGACCGGTCGATCGCGATCGACTGGTTGGGCACCCCTGCCCTAGAGGGTGTCAGGTCCACTCCCCGCTTATAAAAATAGCACTTTACCACTGCACCCTCTCTAATCTCAGTTGCACCCTTAGTCATTTTGTTCTGGAACCGGGCCTGCCTGGAACACATCCTTCTCGGGGCGTAGATGACCCCGAGCCATAAGCGACAACAAATGTGATTCAGTGTCCTCAGCTGTTTAGTCTATTGAAGAATGTTCTTATTACACTCTGAACTAGTTCAAACCTGGAGCTACAGGAGGGCTCTTCAGAATTGATTGTGGCATCTCAACCTTGTGGTCAGACCGTGGCCCGTGACATGTCTTGTGAATTTTCCGGTCGAAGCTCCAAATAAACCGTCAGTGTTTACCATCAAAGCTCCAGCTCTCCATCGTGTCTCTTTGAGTCCTGACTCCTATTGCTTCAGAAGTTTCCCCCACAATACCATCATTTTCCACGGCTATATAAAGGTCCTACTCTAAGTGCACTGCCTCTGTACATAATGATGTGCTGCAGCATTACCTGAAGTTTACCTTCAACCCTTTCTTCAATCATCAAATCTTCTGTGGGAGTATTGCAACTTCAATAAAAGATGTCTTACCTTCCTGTCAGGGTCTATGGAGCTGGCAGTGGAGTTGACAGAAGGAGTCCGCATGAAAACATCTCTCCCCGACCTCCTCTGCTCCTCATCATCATTCCTCCTCTCCTCCTCTTCCTCCTCTCTCTGCACCTCTGTTACATTCTCTACTTCTGCCTCATAGCCTTTCTCCTCTTCCATGCTTTCTCCATCATGAACCTCTGCATCTGCTTCTTCCTGGTTAGTGACATGACAGGGCGTGGAGCCAGCCCATTGGTCCTCCCCTGCATCGCTGTCCGAGTACACGACAGCCAGCTCAGCTTGGAGGTAGTCGCTAAGGTGACTGTCGCTAAGGTCATCTCTGTTGTCGGGGTCGTGACCCCAGGTGTCTAAAGGATCAAGGGTGGCCGTCATGGGCTCTGATGCTGAAGGACTGAAGAAGTCCTTCATCTCAACTGTGTCTCCTCTTCCTCCATCTTCCCTCTCTGTGTCTCCTCTTCCTCCATCTTCCCTCTCTGTGTCTCCTCTTCCTCCATCTTCCCTCTCTGTGTCTCCTCTTCCTCTATCTTCCCTCTCTGTGTCTCCTCTTCCTCCATCTTCCCTCTCTGTGTCTCCTCTTCCTCCATCTTCTCTCTCTGTGTCTCCTCTACCTTCATATTTCCTCTCTGTTTCTCCTGTCCCTTCTTCCTTTCCTTCTGTGTCTCCTCTTCCTCCATATTCTTCCTCCTCTCCTTTTGTCTCTGTGTCTTGTCCTCCTTCATCTCCTTCTCCTTTGTGCCATCCCTTCTGCTCTCCTATCTCAAAAACAAGGTAATCACACTCTTCATCTTCATTTATTTTTCCATTTTCTTTCTCTGCAGCCTCTTCCTCATCCTGCTCATCTGTGATTGGCTGCTGCCCCCCATGGAGCACTTCCTGGATGTGCCAGCTAGCCAAGTTTTCTCTCTCCATGTCTGTTAGCGGTGGTGATGAGCTGATCTCCATGGTATCTGAACTTGTTGGCTCTATAGGAGTGGGAGAGTCGGTTACAGGGTTATTGTTGCTGGAGCTACCGTTGTCTTGGTTACCATCCGTTAGCTCAGCTGTTGTCCTCCTTAGCCCAGCTGATGCTCTCTGTGGACAGAAACAATATTTAATTTGAAACCTCATTACTTAATAAATGTGTGAATACTAATCATTGTAATAATTATCTGGATATTCTTGGTTAGTATTATATGGAAGTCCATAACTGTCAGAAAAATAACAACATAAAAAAATAAATAATAATCAAGCAATCAGATTTTATTTATGTAGCCCATTATCGCAAATTACAAATGTGCCTAAAGGGGATTAACACAATTATTTCGAAATGGACATATAAATATGACCATGGTGAAAAGAATGTAACTAATTACTTTTACTCATGTTGTATTTAAAGAGGACATATTCTGCTAACGTTCAGGTGTATATCAGTATGTACTAGTGTCTCTACTGTGACATGTTTTAATGCTTTAATGTTCAAAAAGCTCTTTATTGTTCTCATACTCTCTGTGCTGCAGCACCTCTTTTCACCCTCTGTCTGAAACCAGAGCCCAGTCTGCTCTGATTGGTTAGCTGGCCGGCTCTGTTGTGACTGGTCAACCGCTTAGAGACGTCCCGCGGCTTAGCCTATTACAATGTGTTGGAGCCACATTGCCTTGCGCCCGAATGTTTTTTCTGTAGCCCCGGAAAATTCTCCCTCAATAACATAATACATTAACCGTGCTTTACCTGAACCTCATCATGACACTGAGAGGACGGCAGGATTGTAATTTCCCGTGCTCAGTGAATGCAACAGAGGCAATACACCAGACCAATCAGAGAGTTGCATCATGGAAATACAGTACAAGTACTTCTGGGTCTACCTACATGTTTGAGCACCCTCTGTGAAACGTCAAGCTACCCCACAGCACCCCAAAAGAAAATCTCTGGCGCCGCCACTGAGGGCTAAGCCCCGAATGTTTCCAGGTCCAGGAAACGCCCTTGGTTGGAGCGCTAGAGAATAGAATCATGGGTGTTACATAGTCATGTCATTATACATCTAAGCATAATAGGACCTCTTTACGTGTATTGTAAGTATGAGTTTCAGCTGCTTGTGCATTTATCTAAGAATTGTAATACCATACAGTTTAGAAGCCAATATTGGAATGTTTTACTCCACTACATTTATCTGACTACTTCAGATTAATCGCTCATTCAAAATGCAAATAAACGAATAAATAAACATTAACATATATTAACAGGTTATAAGGTCCAGCAGCAATATATATATATATAATTAAAATGTGTTCCACCTTTACCAGCTGGTATAAACACATTTATGCATCAATAATCATAATCCATTCATTTAATAAATATGATTCTGAAAGGGCCATTGTGTATAATAAGTAATTTTACTTTTGGTACTTTAATTATAATTTGATCCAATACTTTAGTACTTTTATTTAAGTTAGATTTTGAATCCAAGAATCCAATTTACTTGTAACACAGTATTTTTACAATTGAGTATTGCTACTCTAGTTAATTCAAAAGTCTGAGTACTTCTTCCACTTCTGGAGTTATAAGATAAGGAAAAAGCAAAATAAATCTTGATGTTGAGTCAAAACTATAAGACACTTAGGTAAAATTCAGACGTAAATAGACAAACTTTTTTAAATAAAATTTTGTAAATATTAGATTAAGATGATTTTTGATTACATTTAATCTAAAAAGTATATATATTGTTGAGATCTTCATATTAGGTTGAATAATTCAAACGAAAGTTAGTTATAATCAAATATAGTCAATTATATTCTTATATAACCCCCATGTTATGATTTTCTATATTTACAGTATAAACAAAACACAAGTGGTTTGTTAAGTTGAGTGTAAGGCCTGTAATGGTTTATGGGTGTCACTGATAAGAGAAGAGGCAGTTTATTCTCTCTCCCCTCACAGCAGTACACCGGGAGGGGGGCTCCTGATTTAAGGAGAAATACATTGAGGCCCCAAAAATGTGGTTATGTCATAGCCGAGAATAATATTTTGCAAGTCCTGCAGAGTAGGGGTCATGACCTTTTTACACAAACATGGGAAGGTGTGTCTTATGCCATAGCCATAGAATATGTCTGGTCATGTCCAGTCCTGTACATCAGAGGCCATGCCCAGTTTCCACAAATATGGGTATGGAGGAGGTGTCTTTAGGTTTTTCTATCCTGTTTTTGAGCATAAAGACACTGGCGGAGAGGGAGAGAGAGAGAGGGGGGGGGGGGGGGGGGGGGGTTCCCCTGGTATACTCTCTCCCGGTAAGCTCTCTCCCTGGAGAGCTGGGTTTTCGCCTCGGTAAGGTTCTCTCAAACTTGGTAACTATTGCTTAAATCTCTGTGGATTGAATGCTGAGTGAATGGTTGGATGAAAGTATTTAAAACTAGGATTTCTAACCGATCATTCTGGGGAGCTGGCCTCTTAAATGTATCGGACTATAGGTTGTGAATGTTAGAACCTTTGATCCTTCTGGGTTCTGTCGGAATTCAAACTTATAATTTTAAGGGGATTTCTAACTGATCATTCTGGGGAGCTGACCACTTAATGTATCGGACTATAGGTTGTGAATGTTAGGGTGCATTCACACCTAATAGTCCACTTCTCTGGTGCGCACCAGACCACAGTTTGTTACATCGTTTCATTTTTCAGAAGGTTCGGTTTGCGTTCACACGGGCAAAACTCAAACGGACTATAAACTTTAAACACAAGTCATGTGCTCGGAAATGCTGTTCAACCAATGGTCAGACATTAAGGGGGTAAAAACGCAAATCCCGGCAATTTCTACCGGAGCCTCCGCCATGGAGCATCGGCACTTTCGGCAGGTTATTCTCATGCTGCTGTTAATCTGGAGATCAACAGACACTAGCGGCCCGCGCATAGGGCCGCTAGTATATATCTCATATAATCAGACAACGTCCGTTAAAAAACATTATAACATAATGAGAGACGTTCTGCAGTAAGAACGAAGAAGTTCTTAATTTTATGTAGTTGACGGAGCATTTTTACTTTACACAACACTGTTCAACACAATTCTGCTTCACTCTTTAACTTAACAACCGCGGATGTCTTGAAAGACTCTTTCGCTAAAGATTTTTGAAGACATCCGCATTCTTGTGACACGTAAATACTACGCTTCCTATGTTTTGGTGCGGACTGCGTTCACACCAGCAATGAACCGCTCCAGAGTTCGCAAGCAAGCGTTCCGAGACCACCTATTTTAGCAGACCAGAGTCCGGTTGTTTAGTTCACTTCAGAGGTCTCGGACTGTGTTCACACCGACCCAAACAAACCGCACCAAGCGGCTAAACGCACCAGGGTTCGATTCAACCGGACTATAAAAGGCTGGTGTTAATGCACCCTTAGAACCTTCGATCCCTCTGGGTTCTGTCGGAAAACTTTTAATGTGTGAACTATGAATTAAGGTTTTAGATTAGAAAATAAACCCAGCATGATATGTTTAGTATGATAATAATGTTGTAACGAGAGAAGGTAAAAACCCTGTATTAGTTTGGACGTATTTTTCTTCAAATAAACTGATCCCACCTTTTGGACTGGGACAACTTAAAAGACATCTGCGCTCTCCTCTCCTGCTTCAAAGGTAAGATTGCACCCTGCCACAGTCACACTTAGGTAGGGCCACACCTCATTTACTGATATCAAAATCCTTCGGGATCGCTTAAACAGATTAAGAGAGTTGTCTGAATTGAAACAGCAGTTAATTGAACCTGGTTCTTCAAGAGTTAATAGAGGTGAGATCTTGCTGACGTTGGTGGATCTGAGCCAAGCAGTAAACTTACATAGACTCAATACTTATGTTAGGTCAATTAGTAGGTCAGAGTAATTTGCCGGAATAAATTATCAGCTCCTCTCGACTCTTACAATATATATATATATATATTTACACTTTGATTAACTATCTCATAACTGGGACTTGTCAATATCGTAAAGTGAACACATTTAAATACAAAATCTAAACTTTTATCATTTTAAATTATCTACAAAAGTCTTAATTGTGACTAATGGTGCGTTCACACCGGACGCGATGCGATGTTTGGGGGCAACGCGATTACATGTAAAGTCAATGCAGAAACGCGGACGGACGCGAATTTGCTCCGACAGCGTGCATGAAGCGGTTGATGCGCGATTGGAGGGGGCCGCGACAAACGCTCGAGTTCAATTTTTTCAACTCGAGCGTCAAATTCGCGTAAAGCGATCTCGCGGTAGCCAATCAGCGGTGAGGATCTCAGCATGCCTTCAATGACGTCGTAGAACCACAAAACCAAAACATCATCCGTTAGCTGTTAGCACTCAGAGCTCACAGCTCCTCATATCTGTTCAGAAACTATTCAAAAGTTCAACAAGTACAAACCACAGACTGTCTGTGTCATGGCGAATTAGCCGCTGCTTTATTTATGTCTGTATGACGTTGTTGTGAGTGTGGACGGAGCAGATCAGTGGCGTAACTATCGACGGTGCAGCCGGTGCATTGCACCGGGGCCAACAGCCGTCCAGGGGCCCATGCAAAAAAAAAAAAAAAAAATGTATATAATTATTTATTTATTTTTTCCATTTTTTTCAATATATATATTTTGTTGGGGCCCCAATGGCATTGACTGGTTCACGCAGTCTTCAAAGTAACCTAGCAACCTAAATTAATTTGTAATTTGTCTGTCCAATGAGCTTGCTCCCTTTCATGTCATGTGATACCTTGCGTGACGAGCGAACCGTTAAATCAACATCAAAAGTTATATGTACTACATAGCTATAGCAGCAGCAAGATCGGCAGAATTATAACAAATTGAATAGCTAGCATTTATAATGTACAGCAAACCAAAACACAAGAGCGGCGCTCAAAAGAGAAAGGACAAGAGAGAACAAGGAGATGTAAAGGCTAAACTGACAACATTAGACAGTTTTTTTTGTCATACATCGTCCTCGAAATCGAACGCTAACGTTGGTAATGTTGACGTGCAGCGGCAGCTGGAGCCGGAGGCTAACGATAGCTCACCTGCCTCACCATCGTCTAGCTCCACAAGTGAAGCTGTATCCGTGGCTGTGCGACCTTCTTC